TTTGCAGAATTTCATCTACTGGAAGATCTGCTGCATAGGCTGCTGTTGCAGCCGCGTGTCGTGTAGAATGTGGTTTGAATAAAGTAATGTCAATACCAACCGGCTAAGACAATTTTAATCCATCGAGCTAAAATTTGAGATCCAATAGCACGATGCGGTTTTATCGTTGCAACGAGTAAATTGACACTTTGTCGTAAATGTTTAGTCTTCTCAAGATACGCTTCTAAACATAAATATGGGCAAACATCAGGATCCAAATTGTATCTAGGAACAATAACAGGTGGAACTGAATAATTTGGTCTGCTTCCAAAACTTGAACTGGAACTCGAAAATCGACGTCTACTCCCAACGGTTGATCCTTGTTCAATGATGTGATGTCACTCCCGGTGAGCCTGCGTTCGTTCTTCATGTCAGTCCGTAGGTTACGACTTATGGGATAGAATTGTATTCAGGTAGTAAAACAAGTATTAACATGTGTGACATTTCATAAAATTTATCGGGCGAAACTTTTTTTTTAATTAAAATCGAAACTAAATCTAGGTGTAGTGTGTCTATTTCTTAAATTTGTCTAAGATATTTCAACTCACTTACCGTAAGACTGATGCAGTATGATGATGTGTTAACTGTACCAGTCGAGAAACAGGAGCGAAAACGAGCACATCACGAGAAAAAATAGAATCCAGACACGAAAACTTGCATTGTTCTTGATTGCCTGTCGAAAATGCAAAAAAATTTCAATGCTTATTCAACGTGTAGGATTTGTATGTTCACTTGTGCAAAAATACTAAATGCCTATTGAGTTGTAGTCCCTCAACGAAAAAAACAAAAAAACAAACGAGATCGTGCCATCTGCTAAGAGAGCAGGTCTTCGGGCCTGGACATGATCATTTTTACAGGCACATGACATTTTGCGCCACGTTAACGTCAGGTGCGCGATTGAAAACTGGTAAAAACTACACACGTAAAAACGCACAAGTTGTTAAAAACCTGCGGCAGGCTTGTAGGCAGGCTTGTAGGCAGGCTTGTAGGCTGCCAGCGGTCCCTCCTTTCCGCGGGTTAAGCAGGCTTGTAGCAATGTTGTTCCAACAACTTGTCAACAGGATGTGTTCGCACTGCTTGTTGACAAGTTGACAACTTGCTACAAGGTCGCTGACCTCAACAGACTTGTTACAAGTTGTTCCAACAACTTGTTATCGTCCTGCAATTCAACAAGTTGTCAGTGACAACCTTGTAGCAACTTGATAAAATGTTGACGGGTTCGTAGTTCACTCTCAGTGAATGTCTTCGTAAACTCGTTCGAACCGTTCGATTGGTGAATGCTGGTGCAATAGCTTGCTACAAGCCTGTTGCGAACACATCTTGTTGACAAGTTGAGATTTTTACGTGTGTACGCCAATACTCACCAGATGATCTTGATACGCGGAAAAGTACTGGCACTAGTTGTCAAATAGAAATCCATTTTATGATTAAAACAACTGAATATCTCCTGTAATATACTTTATTTCGATTCCATATTTTTGTCAGAGCTATAGTTCTCATAACCGAACATAATTACAAAATTTCAACTAGTTTCATAAAGAATAACGAAAGATATAATTGACTGAATACATCAAAATGGATTTCTATTCGGACAACCCTTTCTGAGCGCTGATTGGCTAAAATACGAACACGAGATCACCTGGCAATAGAGGTCAGATTAACACATCACAACTGAGTATGAAACCTTTGCCCTGGGAAAGATTTCAAAGTAACAGGCCTTATCACAGAGTTGCCTGTATATGGAGGCCACAACAATGTCATTACCTCTCTAATATTCTCATTTCCGTCTTTGACGTTTTCTGTTGTCTTCACCGTCGTTTCATACACATGATCAATTTGTTTGGTCTAAAAATTTACGTACAGTCCAAAATCATGATATTTACCCATAGACCTGGTGGGGCAAAAAAAAGTACGACTCCTTGAATTGCTGCAAAATCAAAACTAAAATTGCAATGACACTAAAACAAGTTTATTGGCATTTAGCGATATCCAACTTAAATTTTGATATATGCCATGCACATTTCCATGCCATTTTGTCAAAGATACATGCATTTAAACAGGAGTAAACCTTTTTGGAACTGAAAAAAATAGCTAAAAATGGCTTATTAAATTTTAATATATACAACATGCAATAACTTGTGTTAAGACGCATTATACTTTATTGTCAGTACGTTCACGCTTGTGGTTCAAAAACAATCGTCTATATTCATCAGTAAACGCATGTCCCCCACCACGAATGCAACGTCTTGCCCGAAAGAATTTTGGATCATTTGCTGTTTCAAGTTGCGGCATGCTGTAACAATCGCTTCACGAAGCTCTCTCAAATTGTGCTTCAGAACCGGAGTTATTTGAAGCGCACATAGACTTGTCGCATTCAGTTGGAGGTACTCTCTCGTGTCGAGATTTCTTTCAACAAAGTGTGGACCCAGAACAACTGACCTCGTCAAACCAACCCACTAATTGAAACAATAATTGCGAGAAAATGCACATGGTAACGGTTATTCAGTTGGTTTTAATAGGGCCTTTTCAACTAATTCTCGGCGGTTCCAAAAATGTTTGCTTAAGTTTAAACACAGTTATATCAGTCAATATTGCATGAAAAGGTTACTACAAGACATATATCAAAATTTAAGTTAAACATCGTGGAATATACGGTGACGTATTTAAGTGCAATAGCTCTTTTACTTTTTAAGTTATAGTAAATCAAACTGTCGTACTTTTTTTTTCCCCACCCGGTACATGAACTTGCTGTTAGAGTTCGACAACTGGCCCCTAGCTCAGCTAGTTAAAGCACTGCACCGGAATCGCAGGGCTGCAGCTAGGTTCGATTCCTGCCAGAGAGCCTATACTCTATAGAGCGTTTGCACATGACGTCACAGCCGCCATGTTGGTGTTCCAATTCAAAAGAATTTTAATTAGACTCTCTTGTCTGGAACACCAACATGGCCGCCATGGCTTTTGTTGATTTGGTCCCTGGGGAATGAGTGCAAACCACTGAGCTATACTTAATATATCTGGAGATCGTGCTCTCGACGAAAATGTGTGACCAAAAACATGGCGGATTTTACGTCACAATCGACCTATTTTCATGGGGGTTTCCACTGACCAGTGGCTCGAATGTCCGTGGGCGACAAAGTTCAACCCCCCCCTGATTCATTGTATTGTACGTTGCTTGACAATAAAGTTCATGCATTCACAAATTTACGCATTCAATACAGCAATACAGCAATACAGCACGAGTTAAATTATTACAAAAAACGAGATTATACGAGCCTTACCCATGTGAGGACAGGTCCTTTCTTTCAGTAGATTTTTGGCAACCAGGAGTTGAACAAAAAGTTGGCATGGTTGCAAATGTCTCGCTTTAATATAAGAAAATTTCCGACCGAAATTTAGGTCGATTGTGACGTCAAAATGACGTAAATTTGGCCAAAATCCGCCATGTTTTTGGTCACACATTTTTGACTGACGAGGTATTGGAGCACGATCTCCAGATATATTAAGTATAGCTCAGAGGTGCAAACGCTCTAAGGTTTAGGCGTAAAAAAAATACCTGTGGTTCCGGTTTCATACACAGGCGGCCCAATTTCGCAAGGGTCAGTATAGACTTATAGTATAAATGTATATTATATTAATGTATATTATAGTAAAAATATGTTGTAAAATATAAATTTTAAAATGAAATTGACTTGCCTATTTGATAGTGTGTGTTCTCCCTTTATTCCTCCTTTGTTGGACTAATATTTTCCGAGACTTTGTACTCGATGTTACTAGTATACATGAAACATGATATCATGTTTCATGTATGCTAGTAACATCGAGTACAAAGTCTCGGAAAATATTAGTCCAACAAAGGAGGAATAAAAGGAGAACACACACTATCAAATAGGCAAGTCAATTTCATTTTAAAATTTACATTTTACGACATATTTTTACTATAATATACATTAATATAATATAATATACATTTATACTATAAGTCTATACTGACCCTTGCGAAATTGGGCCGTCTGTGTTTCATATCGTGAAAAAATTAGGGTCGGTAGGTCGGAAATAATTTTTTTTTTTAATATTTTTTTCATGGTTTTGGCGGTTTTTTGCTAGCCGATTTGCAGTAGAGTCCCGACATCAATATTAAACTAGAGATGCGTATTTCCTATGGACGAATTTAGGCAATTTGGTTCAATAATTAGTGTGTCAACAGACGCCATTTTGGCACGCTGTATGAGCAGCCCGCAACCACCTGGAGAAAATAGGGTCGCACGGTCAATCGCGTTGAAAAAATAATAGGGTCGGCAGAAAAAAAATAGGGTCGGTCGGGAACCGGAACCACAGGTATTTTTTTTACGCCTTAGTAACCGCATAAAAAGTCACTCGAAATTTCCATCTACAAATCGCGTGTAGACTGTAGATGCCCAAAATACTGATATTTACCCCACAATAACACCGAAATTCTCATCTTTCTTTCTTTTTCTCATCATATATTACCTGCTCCAAAACTTTCTCAGAGAACACTTCTTGTAATTTTGCAATCTCGACAACTCGCCCTTCAATGTTTCTGAGATGTGCAAAAAAAGAATTTACGAAATTTCAGTTCACGGAAAAAAGCTCAATTGAGGAAGAATAAACTAAAATAATGGATGAGTTGTTACCTGACTTCATTAGCTAAACTGTTCATTTCGTCAAAAATTCTTTTATTTTCCTGTTCAAACTGATGGAGAATTTAAATTTAAATACAGGGAAGAAATTATCATAAAATGAAAGTATACAAACGACAATTAACTCACAGTTTGTAATTCCTCCGGTGTAAACTCGTGTTCAACATCGTTTATTCCTGATGAGAAAAACGTTTATACACTGTAAAATACACAACAACGCTAATCCGTTCCTGCAGATGACTAAAATACTAGTAGTCGAAATGTGGAATCTAGAGAAGTAAAAATGCTTTCGATATTCGGAGTTGGTGTGTGTTTTATGAAAATACTCGGAATTAGAAAGTGTACAACAAGACGGTTTGAAACTTGACATGTGCTATTCAGAAACTTCACTGAGTAAAATCAGTCGGGCGGATAGTGAGTAAGAAGACATGTAGTTGCGTACTGGGTGGACCATCACACACAAAACTGTCTTACATTACAATGGTAAACTGGTTACCATGCAGCTAGTCGACTCGTAATGGTCGCAAACATGTCAAGGTAGCCGATGTAATAGAGAACACTGATTTGCATACAGCAAACAAAAGACAAGATGGATCCACGCTACTTCACATCGTCGATTATGACTTGGTGAGGACAATGACCAAATGAAAACGAGGCATAGGAATAGATTTAGGACCCATACTCCATGACTCCATGCAAACTCCATGACTGATGTTCTGTTTATTACATTAACCGACAATGTCATAATAATAAGTTGCATACCATCATGAGTAGGATTGGAAGTTATCGGGTTGTCATTCATTTCCATTGTTCTCCCAGACTGTTTCTTGTTATCACATTGCAATCTTGAACTATCAACACAACGTTAAAACAGTCGGTGAATATTCTGTATACCAAGCAAGGCTACCTACTGCAGTACTACTTTAGACAAAAAGGCCATTTGCTCATTAAACCTCAGATCAAAGGAAAGCCTGTTGAACGTATACAGCACTGATCGTATTTTTGTGTAAATATATCAATAGTTCTACCCTCGTAGCCTAGTGCTCACGAAACAGAGAAATACACTACATTTGACCATGGGCATGGTACGTTTGGAATGAAAAAGAGGCCTAAATTACTAATACTGTAGAATTAAGCCCAGACACTGAATTCAATTTATTAGAAAGAGCGCATTATATTAGTAGTACTGTGTATACTATAGGAATGGTACTGTATTTTGACACAGATAAGATATTTGCTTGCTTATAGTAAGACCACTCTCTTTTGTATACAATAAATACTTACATCCTTTTCTTATCCACAACTCGTTTTACTCTGATAGCTCGTTGTTCACTGTATAACTTACATGCAGCTAGGTGAAAGAACAATCAGGTTGATATATCGTAACTAATATTGAAATGCAGTCGTTGGTGTTTTAAATAATTAGTCTAAACAAACCGTTAATTCATGTTGGTTTTTTAGTGATAAAGTCATTAAAATCACAACTAATCTCTGACCTATACCACTTATACTACTTATAGTATTGCTAATACTTCGTACCTTTGAGATATTTTTCTAATACTTCTAAAACATTACATCGATGTTCTGTCACTTGCTCACTATTCTTTTGGCTTACCACTAAAAAATAAATTATTTTATGAACATGACTTCAGGCCACTGGCACAGACAAGTAATTAGTGATGACAGTGAAAATGGTATATAGTTTCTTTCCCTTTCTATTTTTGCAAAGTATGCAATATTTTAATTAATTACAAAATGAGTCACACTGGACACTGTGTACAATGATAACAACTAAAAAGTGTTTACAGTTTTGTGTCCAACTACAATGCTATATATATATATAGTTGGCTGCCTCACTTGCCTGATTGACCAACCAGCCAACCAACCACAAATAAAAAATAACTAGTCTGAGAATAACATTGTATAAAAGTGTGGTATCAGCAAACCTCCATCTTTGAGTGACTGAATTGCTGTTGAACAAGTTCTGATAAATGTCTGAGCATCTTGATCAATTTGGTCTCTTTCTCGATCACTCATTGCCGTAACACCTGAGCTTACATGACTACAAAAGATATACTTTTTACAAATTTGTCTCTTGCTTAACCCATTAAGCGCCAGCGCTCTCCCCTTGACGAGTAAAATCGTCTGGCGTTAGACAGTCAGAGTAAAATACTAAAGTAGGGTGCATCAGGGTGCAATGCGACTCAATGGGTTAACTAGACACATGGGCAGATAGGCCAGTTAACCCATTAAGCGCCAGCGCTCTCCCCTTGACGAGTAAAATCGTCTGGCGTTAGACAGAGTAAATTACTAAAGTAGGGTGCATCAGGGTGCAATGAGACTCAATGGGTTAAGTTTAGTATTAGCTTCCTTCACATGCATCTCAATGGTTGCTATGCCTACCACTGGGCTAATTTTAGTGTACATATACTGTACTATGTACCCACAACTTTTTGTCATCATGATTTACCATATATTTTTTTTTGAATTACAATTACAAACTACAGCTAAGACTGAATTCATTAATTATTCCCTTATACTCTTATAATTATATTTAATTTACATACCTGACTGCATTGATGTAATCTTTCCTGTGTTTCAATAAAAATTCTTTTAACTTTGAGACATTTTGTTTCTAGACATACAAAGCATTGCAATCATGCATCCTGCCCTTGCATCATACTAGTACTAGTCCAGTCATCAGCTTCAAGTCTAGTCAGCCATTGGCCAGGACTGCATGAATGTGAAACTAATTTAATATTAACCTATCAAGTGCTAGCACTCTCTCCTTAACAAGTAAAATGATTTGGCATTAGACAGAATAAAAATCCTAGGCGGATTTGGGCACAATGTAACTTAATGGGTATAATCATTACACAAAGGTATTAGCTCAGTGTTAGAACTAACACCCCTGTCAAACGTACGTGTATTTTCTCTGGCAGTCTAGGTACAAGATTGTCTGAGGGTTTTGACCAGTGGCACCGCCAGCTCGATAATTGGGGGAGGGGCCAATATTCATATCTTCGTGTTCTACATTATTAACTTCTTTTGAAATCCATTGTTTTTATGGTCTGTGAACACAAATATATGAATATTCGCCCCCCCCCAATTATCGCGATGGCGGCACCACTGGTTTTGACCCATGTCTCCATCAATTTGATGTCTGTATGGCAACTACAATATGAACATGGCCCCTAATAGGGGTGCAGAGTGGGCAAAAAGTGACAAGGAAGCCAGCTGGGTCACAGAGTAACATACAGAGGCTTATCTCAGCGAAAAAACTGTAAGGTGTTTTTTGGTCATGTTCTTAGCCAGTACCTGCACATGCGCAGTTTACGTAAAAAGGCGGCCTCTCTTTACTGGACTGGCTAAGAAAATGGCAATTTTTCCAAAAAAGCCCTTACGCTGACATTAAAGGTGCCGACTGATTTAAGAAAAACCTCTGTATTTACTTACTCTGTGGCGGGGCGCACCCAAGGAGGGATTTACCGGAAGGGTGCACACTCCTCATAGCCTGGGAATTGCTTATGGAATCCTTTTTTGTTTTGACCAAAGGACCAAGCTCAATGCTCCCCCCCCCCCCCAAATCTATCCCTGGGTGCACCTGTGGTTAGACCAGCCACATAAAAACTTGTTTAAAATTAAACTAACTACAATATACATCTACTCACAACTTCAGAAGCTTTTAAACCAAATTCTGTCGTCACTTTGGAACGATTTCTTCCCAGAATATTTGAAGTGTCTTTGGAGGTTAAATTTGATGACTTCACTGCTTGATTTCGCGTACGAATTGCTTTTACACAGGCTTTAAAAAACGCTGTACGATCCATTACAAATTAACTAGTCTTCACTTCATGTTTTGAACGCATAAAACATCAATTTGAAAACATTTTGTGACGAAAACAACACGTGTATCAAAAAATAATTTGTTGACAAAACGTGGTACACTTCACTCTAGCTTACTTGAAGCCCTGAGCTAACCATAAAATTACTATTTTGCGGGCGCTTTTCATGAAAAATAATCAAAATGGCGACTGACAAAGGAGTGATATTTTTGTTTTTCATTATTTGCTGTTTTTGTGCGCTGGAAATAGTTGAAGCTATTTGTAATAATGATGACGAATGTTGTCGCCAAAAACCGAATAATAATTGTTCACCACTTGTTTGTTGTTCTTATCTGTAAGTTATACACAGTGGCATTTAAATTTTAATATACACATGACATGATGACATTTGAATATATCAAGTTGAATATCTTTGTTGAAGATATGATGGGAAGTGAATATAGTGTTGAACATACAGTATCACCAGTCTGGGAGTTGAATAATTTTATGTTTACCTTTGTAAAAATTCAACTCAAAAGAGGAAGTATGTATGCCATATTTACAGGCATTAGTGAGACATGTAGACAGGTAAACATTGGCGCCTTGGGCATTTCAGGTGCAAAATCAAAACAATGTTTACCTGTCTATATCATACAGGATTATCATTTTCATGAGAATGTTTTGTAGAATACCACTGACATTGAACTCCCAAATCATCACAATATTTAATAACTAAGTGATGATAATTAAGTTACATACTCACATTAGCAACTGATAAAAAATCCTAGAAAGTATAAAACACCCAGTACATTTAAGATTCATAGCTTAAATAAAAATTAAATATATAAATGAAATAAAATTAACCTTTGTGAGATATTATGATACATTTATACATTATTTCAAGTCCTGAAGAATTTGTTCAATGTGATGATCCAGAAGATTTCTCAAAAAATTCATCTGAGGCTAAAAGACTTGGGTATGGATGTACAAAGGTAATTGTTACCTCAAACATGTTGAAATAATATCCTCAATCTCTTCTAATACAATATGCTATGAAAAACAATCAGTTATTCAGTATTTTGTCTGAGGGATTCCATTTGGTCACAGGCTCACAGCCATCATGACCAAGAAGTGGCCAATATGAAATGACATACACATGTATGCAATCAATCTGTGGGTCATGCCACCTAAAATCTGGCAAGACAGTTACACATGTCAGTAGATTGAATGAAATAAATCATTTTGTTTCACTAGTATGGAGGTTCGCGATACGAGGACGTCAACCATACCAAAGTTGTCTGTCATGTTTTGTCTGGGATTGAGTGCTATGGAGAGAGAACATTCTTTAAACATGGAGTGCCATGCATAAAGTAGGTTTAAGACAGACCAGTATTCTCATTTTTAAGAATATTAAACTATCTTCATTTTGGTTAAAATGAGAACTCAGTGGCATTGAAGTGTTAGTAGCAAACTAACTTCCAACTTCAATTTTGCCTACTAATCACTCTAGACAAAGAGTTTCACTTGAAACTTTTTGTATCTTTTTAAGTCTACATTAGCACAAGACAAAACAAATTTGGAACTGTACAGTCATGTACAGTATTATCCATCTGGTTCCACTTATTCGCATGAGAAATCATCCGTCAGTTTCGTGTGTCCTCATGCAAATTTGAGTATAGTCCAAATTCACCCAGTAAACATTACCTAAATGTAGTTACAAGCAAAAATTTTTTAAGACAGGTTAACATTGAATACTACCTAAACTGGAATCCCATGTTTTAAGAGAATATTGTCCTTTCATTATTTCATGTTTATTTACCTAATCTTTCAGATACAATGGCCATTACTTCTTGACAACATTACTCTATTCTCTTCTACTTGGTTTTCTTGGTGTGGATAGATTCTGTCTTGGTTGGACAGGGATTGGTGTTGGCAAACTCTTGACATTGGGAGGGTTAGGAATCTGGTGGATTGTTGATATAATGTTGCTTATTGCTGGAGTATTATTACCTGAGGATGAAAGCAACTGGGTGCCTTATTATTAGTTAATATGCACAATGTGAAAATTTTGTTGTAAAATAGGAAATTGTTTATAGGTACAGGAGAGGTAAATTGTTCTATTGTAGAGTAGCAGCCTAGTCCCAGGCACTCTCTCCATCCCAGTGACATAAGTAGAACTGGAATGCTACCTCCAATTGGATATTTGAAGCCAAACTTTAAGGCCAGTCCCAGTCTTTTCACGCATGCGAACAGCACGGTCAATACGCCAACATGAATACGTGATCTTGAAAATCGGCATAAAATTTACAAAAAAAGGCACTGAACTTTCTTTTAATGCATTTATTCAGGTAAAACTTCCGTTAGTTTTTCGTCGCTTGGCGTAAGAAATACAACGTTAGCGAGCAGGCTACGTATACTTGGGCTCGCAAAAGAATCGCGAGGCATAAACACACGAGTTTTGATCCCCAGACACGCGTGTCTAGGCCCTAGGGGTCCGATTTGGCTAAGTAAAAGACAGGCAGTTTATCTGAAGTTAGTGTTCCAGTTATAATCATTTCACAGAAGCATCTTTAGCAGTGACGTCACACTTAGTTTCACTTTGTATTGTATAGGATGCGAATCATGCGATAAACAAGTAAACTCGCCATTCTAATTTGAAAGCCAGGTTTTCATCAGAAACACCATGAAAAAAAGCTTTAATTGCTAATTGTGCAATGTAAGGCCAGACTTCTTCGCGCGAAATGACATGTTGTTGGATTGAAAAGTATTTATCACTTACCCAGACATAGTTCCAACCTCCTAAGCCAAAAAAACACAATCGGATTGGATTTCCGGCATTGGAAACATTAACATTTACAGCGTAATTAGGCTGACGTGTGGCGCGCAGAAAGAACCAGGTCTATAGGTCTACGATAGTCGAATAACTATTAGGCTTTGTTCCAGCCGGACCAGGTCGTACCTCGGCGAGCTATACAACCATGCGATTACGGGTCTCTGAATCGATTAATACCTATCATATACTTACTCTAGTGATATTTATATGTGATATTGAACTGCAAAGTGATGGTCGTGCAAACAACTAGAACTAGAAAATACTTTATTAAACAATGTTCTATAAAAATATTGTACATAAATAATCAAGTTACAAAAAATTCATCGCACGCTTCTTCGTCTGCATGTGTAGAAATGTAAAAATTGTTTATTAAATAATACTATGCTCCAGAGTCGTTTATTTTTCTATTATAGTTAATTTGAAAACCTCGTGTATCAGTGTATGTGATATTTATAATTAATAAATATTTATAATATAGCATTTGTAAATTCTGAACGCTGATTGGCTAAGAGCCGTGTTGACATACACTGTAACTCAACGTCAACACGGAAAATTTCTTTTTTTTATATTTCTGCTATATTATAAAAAAAATATTCAAAAATTTTCCATGTTGATATACAGTTACATCAACACTCGTGGAAATTGGGAAAACTCAAAATTGTGTGAAAACACTCCGCCCTCCGGGCGTCGTGTTTCCACACAATTTCTCGTTTTCCCAATTCCCACTCGTGTTGATATGCCATATGGCTGTATATCAACACGGAAAATGTTTTATATTTGTTAAATTTAGTATTGTACAGTAAATCAAACTGTTCACTCAATAGCATTATTCAATTCGAATTATTCATGCATTCAAAATTTCCGTCTGTAATCTCAGCGAACTGGCGTTCTTGGAAGAAATACGTCATATATCCTTACAGTAAAATTTAAAATCTTTAATCCTGCAGAAGTGTGTTGCAAAAATTCTATATGTCCTCCAAGCTATTTCTTCGTGATAAGGGACCGGTCATTATTTATGGCGGGGGGTGGCACCGAAGAGAAAAAGGTTGGGTAAACAAAATTTTGAGTGAGTAAAAGGTTGGGTAAATGAAAAACAAAACAACTCAAGGGTTGGGTAATAAAAATTTTTGTCATTTCCAAAGCATGACCCACTGAAATATTGGAGACTGAAAAGCAATGTCAACAGTCATTTGTCAATACAATATGTGAATCAATCAGAGTCACTATCTTGATCATAGTTTGACAAAACAAATCGTGTTTCCAAAGAAAGTACATGTGCAGACAACATGAAACTTTAGACTGCAGAAAATTTCACAAGCCGTTATCAAACTCATGTCACTGAAGTGATAAAGGACATGTATGACAACTGACATTACTGAACTGAATGGTATCCTTTTGTTAAGTTTTTGGCCAGGGGTGGGTAGCTATTTTTTAACTGATATTTGAGGTTGGGTCAGCAAAATTTTTGACACGGAAAACATTTCTCGGCGGTGCCACCCCC